CTCTCTCTCTCTCTGTGTGTGTGTGTGTGTGTGTGTGTGTGTGTGTGTGTGTGTGTGTGTGTGTGTGTGTGTGTGTGTGTGTGTGTGTGTGTGTACGTTGCCACATCCACATATGTGGATGAATAAAACTCGATCATCCACAATCGTTGGGCGTTCCCCCCGCGATTTACACACCAACTCTTCAACGCTCGTTCTACTAGTTGATCGTCATCCTCGGGAACACATCCACTGCAGACTTCCCAAGCGAAACACCAAACCTTTTTTTTCTCAAGTAGTCATTCACCGAAATACGTCCACCTTCTCCCTCCCATACCTAAATGTCGTTGATGATCGGTTACGCAGCAGTCTGAAATCCGGCAATGACGTCCCATTCTCTCCACCCTCCCGCACGATACACAACCAGTCCAATTTACCCAGAGCATGCATGTCCCATTCCCACACATCGCCGTCGGAACTATGGAAACGGGCCATGTTCTCACAGTGCCAACTTCCAACTACATTCACCGTCTCTCCTTGAAATCCACAGCATTGCCGTTGTGCAACGCAAGGGAGGGTCTGATTCAAGGGACTCCTCGCTGCCTCCACCCATGCACACCAAGTTCCTGACACAGCGTACCCATTGCCTTAGTGCCCGCCACTCAACCCTTATGTGAATCCCCCCCCCTCCCCAACCCCTATTTGAAACCCCACACCCTGCTTCGAAGCATTCGCGTCTGCTGCTCCTGGTCCGGTTAACCTCAGGCCCCATCTTTCCTCGCAGAGCAGGAGGAATTTCCATACACAAACACGTCATGGTGTCACCTGCTTCTAATCTTGAGCGAGAAGTCGATGACATCCACGTCGATGCTCATGAACGAGTCTATGCACGTTCTCTCCCCCCAATTCAAAAAGCCTCTATACACCACAGCAGCTTCCATCAGCATTATTTGCAGTGGCCCTCACTAGTACCGCCAACCCGTCCCCGCCCCAATTGCAGTTCGCCCACCATTTGCTGGGTGAGAATCCCTGCTCTCTCCTCCCTGCTGCGTAACCTTGCCACCATCCAACTGGCCAAGCATGAACCATTGATCCTGAGGAATACCATCGACAAAACTTCTAATGGAATACAATATCTGTCGATTCATCGTGGCCTCCATCGCCGCCCGCTCACCTTCCCGACTCGCCTCCTACCCCTCCCACCCTCGCCTTCGAAGCCAAGCTTTGTAAAATGTGCCCCCCCCCCCCCCCCCCCCCCACCCACCACCCTCCCCTCAACATACACACATAGACAAGAACAATGCCCTCGCCCCGCCCCACCTTCTAATGAAATAAGATCCGTCGCTTCACTGTGGCCTTCGCCAACTGACCTCCCACCCTCCCTTCAAGGCCAAGCTCTGTCAAAAGCCGCCCTTCCCCCCTCTCCCCTCACCACCGCCCATCCTCCACTCTCCCCTCAACACACACACACATACACAAGGACAATGCCCTTTACTATACTATATGTCATTCATTCTTATGACATTCCCGCGCCCCCCCCCCCCTCCCCACTTCATTTCAGGACTTCGATGCAGTCACAGTACCTAAGAGTGCTAACTTTCCCCTTACAACGCGAACTGCGCACACTTCCCGCAGTTACCCTTACAAAGGAAACGATGCGAGCTTTCCAGGATTACCCTCAGCAACTGCGCACACTTCCCGCAGTTACCCTCGACAACTGCGCACAGTTCCCGCAGTTAACCTCACAAAGGAAATGATGCGAGCTTTCCAGGATTACCCTCGACAACTGCTCACACTTCCCGCAGTTACCCTTACAAAGGAAACGATGCGAGCTTTCCAGGATTACCCTCAGCAACTGCGCACACTTCCCGCAGTTACCCTCGACAACTGCGCACAGTTCCCGCAGTTAACCTCACAAAGGAAATGATGCGAGCTTTCCAGGATTACCCTCAGCAACTGCCTCACCGTCACCAAACGCTAGGCACACATTCTCACAAAGACAAATCGGAGAAAACATAGTTCACCCACAGCAACAACCCTGCAGAAAGAAAATAAACGAATCGTCACAAAATGACATCACCGCAGCGGACCACCTCGAACCATAGCCAAACGTGGCTGAAAACTGAACACACAGAGATCCCTGTGCTCAGAAAAAACCACCCCTAGGTCAACGCAACTTTGGGGTAGAGGCTGCCCCCACCCCCTTATCCCAAAAGACAGGATGGGGGGCAACCCGCCGCACTGAACGCCAATGCCAAAACGGAGGGGGACACAGCAAATACTACCGGCAATCCATCCACAGCCAGTAGTCCACTGTGACACTCTGTCTGTTGTCCAGATCCTCCAGATCCCAGCAGAGCAGAGCAGGACAGGGCACCTTGGCATAATGACAAGTGCGAGCCACGTCTAGCAACTTTTCACAGTCTTTCATGGCAAACATACTGTACATCTCCAGAACCGAAGAGAGTAGAGACCACACACATTCCACCGCCCTCCTCCCCCCCTGCCCCTCTCCCCCCAAAAAAGGAAAAACTGAAGAAAAGAAAAGTTCTAAGAATAACCCAGAAACAGACGGGAATGGCAGCAGCCCCTTCCTGTCTGCACAAGCGACCACTTCTCTGAGCACAAAGCTCCCCACTAACGAGAGAGGACAAGAGAGTAAAGAGCTTACACCAGCGCCTAAGACAGCAGCGGCGCCTCGTACGTTTGCGCTTGCACTCACTGCGCTATACCAGCACCTGAGAAGAGCAGCACCTCCGTCTAAGATGAGAAAGAACGAGCTGTGCTTGCACACACTGCTATGGCAGTGAGCAACGCCGTCTAAGCTCAGAAAGGACAAGTCATATAGCGCTCAGAGATGAACCAGCACATAGCAAGAGTGTGTTCCCTCCCCAACATGGATTGAAGTTCTGGCCACCAGAGACTCCGCTTCTGTCTCCATTGCTATATTTAGAAAGGCATCCAGAAGGTGGCGTACCTAAGAGGAGAAATGAAGATATGTATGCAGCAAATCTGGGAGTGTTCGTTGTCGAGGAATAGCTCAACGCTCCCTGCCACGCTTCCGCACAGAGCCACAAGAAGCTCTATCCTGCAGCGCCAAAGAGCAGATCAAGCTCTCTGAAGTACTTCACCGCAGAGGCACAAGAAGATCGGACAGCAGGAGGAACAGATCAGCGGTCCAATACAGAGGAGAAAAGAAGATATGGATTGAGCAATTCCGCGAACGGTTATCGAGGGATAGCTCAACGCTCCCTGCCACACTTCAGCGCTGAGCCACAAGAAGCTCTATCCTGCAACGCCGAGGAGTAGAGAGGCACTAGAAGATCTGACAGCAACAAATCTAGCACCGTCGAGGAACACATCAATAACTTTACGCTTCCTCTTGCCGACTTGCCCACTCTGCACAGAGCCACTAGAAGATCTATCTGGCAACGCCGAGGAGAAGATCAAGCTCTCTGAAGTACTTTAGCCCAGAGACGCAAGAAGATCTCTGACAGCAGCAAATACAGCAGTGTGCAGGACCAGATCAACACTGCCTGAAGCACTTTTGCACAGAGGCACAACTTTCATGTGGTGTTATACAGTAAATACTGCTCTCTTGCCTGCGGTCTCATTCAACCACTCAGCAACTCCCCAAAGAATTCAAAATCCTACTCAGGATTTGAACCTGTGACCTCCAGAGGACCAGTGGAGAGCACCCTGTTCTCCGGTGACGCACGAAAGCACGCGGTGTCATCATGATCACCATCATCCCCTTCATCCCAGGGTGAACTCAGACTCAAGACTTCTTTCTACTTAGCTCCGAACGCGGTTGTGGTAAGATCCGTCCAGCTCTGGCCGTAAATGCAATCACATACATGTAGGAAGTGTGAGTAGATGCCCTCACTCTCAAACAGAACTAAGCCAGTTCCATAATATTTCCTATCTCAACACGGTATTCCACCCACATCAGGACAAACCGAAGAACGCCTAGAATTGGCACTAAGCTGCCACACCTTGAAACACAGAGAGCAGCAGACAGACGGATGAAGAGAAACCCAGAGGACAATGCCCCTCGCTTGGCCCTGAGTCCTCTTGAGGCTGATCTGTCCACCAGCATCAAGGTCCCAGTTCACGTGCCTTGCAGTGTCTGGCTCCTTCCACCCACATCAAGACAAATCAAAGAACACCTAGAATTGGCACTGAGCCACCGCATGTCCGGCCTGAGGTACTCAAGCCCCACAGACCATATAACCATCTAATTGTTCCCTCGATGCGGACTCGTTCACCGGCAGATCGGGTTGGCGCCTTACACCTACTCCTCCTCCTCCTCCTCCTCCTCTCCTCCTCCTCACCGGCTGTCTGATCAATTGACCTGAGGTGTTTGAGCCCCACAGGCCATACAACCCCCTCTCCTCCTCCTCCTCCTCCTCCTCCTCCTCTCCACTCTTTCCCTCGATAGCCACTTGTTCACCCACAGATTGGATACTTCAAATACTCGCCATCTGCTTTGTCTTGGATGGTGACGACGACAACGTGGATGATGACGACATACGTGCACGATGACACCTCGTGAGTAAGCTGACAGTCAAATACCTCAGCCGCTTCACTGGATGCTATTTTTAGTAACCCTCACTCGTAGAGGGCCCAATCACCACAGCAACACCTACAACATCCTGTTCAGGACACCGAAGAGGTTCTAATACAGCACCCGCAAGATCCTGTTCACGATAACGAAGAGGCCCCAATACACCACCTACCATATCCTCGACACCCTGAAGCACACACGAATGATGGGAGTCTGTAGAGCCTGAAACACGACCAAACGGTCAGTACCGTTCAGCCGTACAGCGAAGAGGTCCGTTTAGTCTAGGACAGAACACCCAGCACCCTTGACCATACAGCGAGACAGTCGTTGATCTTCCTTTCACTAACTCTCACTTGTAGAACAGATCACCACAGCAACCCCTACACTACCCAGTTCAGGACGAGGAAGAGCTGCTAGTACAGCACCCACAATACTCTGTTCACGATGACGAAGAGGCTCTAGCACACCACCGACAATATCCTCAGACCCCGAAACACTATCAATGAGGATACTCTGTTCACGATGATGAAGAGGCCCAAGCACACCACCGACAATATCGTCAGACCCTGAAGCACTACCAATGAGGGGAGTGTCTAAAGCCTGGAACATGACCAAATGGTCAATCGACTCGATAGCATACAACAGTATAGCTAAGCAGCAGTCCATTTACAAGATCCCTCCCTCCTGTCACACACAGTCGTTCTGTGACACAGTCGTTCTTCACTGTGGGGTTGTGTACAGCGAAGATGTCACACACACGCGAAATTCAGTGATATATGCCGATCAAGCGGCCTTCACGATTCATTCAACCCCTCTTTCCATCACCCCCTCGGGCACCATCCACCCAAACGAACGTGCGATCATCTCCATCGCCATCCTCTTTGCATAAAAGGAAGGCAAGCAGGCAGGCAGGCAGGCACATCCCCACGAATACGGAAAACAACAGAGAGGGAAAACGAAACCAGAGAGGAAGCATCCCCCCCTTTCACACGATCCCTCCTGTCCGAATCCCTGTACACTTCGTGTCCTACGGCTTTCATCAGATCTGGCAATCAAGGTCTACCAAGAGGACAGGAAACCAAATGCGTTTGCATCGTCTTTGCAATTAGCAAGCAAAGGCACCACAACTAGCTGCTATTGGCGAGAGCGGAAGGCCGCGAATTCAAATCTTTTGGGTCGAGCTTCAGGTGAAGTTCTGAATCTTCTGATGCAATTGCTACCCTACCGCAGTGCAATCCGCCATAGCCAGACTAGAGCCAACACTCAGAAGAAAACCTCAGGTAACCGACTCTACCCTTTCAACGATGGACACAGTGAAGTGCAATTAGAGAGAAGGTAAGAGAGAGAACGTAACATAGGATAAGATACGAGAGAAGCTAAGAAACAACGGTCTCCGGAACCATAGGTTAAGGGTTCAAATCCCAACCACTAGTACCTTTGACGGTTCGAAAATACTCGGCCTCCGACCTTTCAGGAGGCCGAAACAAAACGACGGCCGCCGATCACATTTATCACGGCAGGCTCGGCCTCCTGAAAGTTCGGAGGTAGACCAGTACTTGTCGAAAATAGGCTCGGAGGTACTAATTCCTGGTTCATTATTAACGAGAGCTGTGACCGCCTGTTCTTCCGAAAACGCAGATCTCTACAAAAAAAATTATGCACCTCAATTGGCACTTCCCCTCCTCTTCCTCCTCCTCCCCCCCCCCTTTCTCTCGCGCGCAACTCTCCAGACAGCTCCTACACGCTTTCCACTTCTTTTACCTCCATCATTTTGCTATCCCTGCAACCCCATCTGTCTGACGCACCCATACCTGCCACAGAATAACGTACCTGTGAGAATACTCTCCCAACCACTCTCTCTCTCTCTCTCTCCCCACCCCCTCCCGGCCCCTCTTCTTGTGTCCCTCACACTGAACCATCTCTCCGACAGAATACTTAGAATACTTGCGAGGATGTGATCTCCAACCTCCCATGGCGGTGTCTCCACCCTCTCCACAGAATACATAGCTGCGAGTTAAAAGGGATAGAGTCCACCAGTCCACCAGAGCGCAAGGATTGGAAGAGGGAGCCGCCCCTCAGAAGCCGAGGTACAAAAGGGACAGAGCACCATAGCATGAGCGGATGGCTTTCCCAAACAGGAAATCATCCCAGCGGTTCAACCGGCAGCTGGACCCGAAGAGGAGAGACTCGGTTGCGAAGATTTTCAACGAGATGGTTTCCCGATTAAGTAAAGCGGTTCCTACCGTAGTCGGCCTCCACTCCACATTCCGCACGCGTCCTTTTCCTATTTAGGAAAAAACACTCGAGCCGTCATCCCCCCGTTCAACCACCCGAATTACTCAAGGTGTTTTCCACTGCTCGCCCCCCCCTCCCCCCCGGGGTCAATCAGTCCGTGGGCCTCTCTGCAATACAACAAACAATTGGCACGACTCCTATATTCCTGTTCAGGAAAGAAATCGCCCCCACCGCCAGCCACCCGTTCAACCACGCAGATCAGCCACGTGTTTTTTCCACTGTTTGCCAGCCACCTCGTCAGCTTTCGAATGATAGACAACACTGAGATCCGTACAAGAGTCCTATTCCTATTCAGGAAAAAGGTGCCCACCATCATCCCCCCGTTCCACCACAGGATTAGCTAGGTGTTTTCCTGAATAGGAATAGGACTCGTTTGCCAGCCACCTCAGCAGCCTTCCGATGATAGACGATCCTGAACGCTCACGTCTTCCCCCCATTTTGGGGGTCAATCAATCCCCTGTACCTCGAGCATACCCCGCCCTCCCTCCACCCATGCGAGCCATCCATCCGCCCACCGCCGGTTTCTGAAAGGAGCCGGGGGAGAGAAGAAGCGCGCGGGGGGGGTGGGGTGGGTTGGGGGGGTTTGGGGGGGGGAAGGAGGCCTAAGGTCCTCCCCCCCGGAACAGTCAAAAATCTTCTGAATCAGTACAGTCCAGACCCATTTGACATTTATCACGTCGTCCTCACGTTGCTCAGTCGGGTACTAGGTGCTCGCTCTTTCCCTGCAGCCTCCCTCACCCGACCCCCCTTCCCGCCAAAATGGACAGTCTTCCGACCCAGGACACTGTCCGACTTGTCGTCACATCATGTGAACTTGACACGTGTCACGCCATCCCCACGTGGCTCGGTCGGGTAGTAGGTGCGCTTTTTCCCTGCAGCCTCCCCCTCACCCGAACCCCTTCCCGC